TAAACTGAGAGTGACCGATCGTTTAAAAAAATAGCAAGTAAAACATTGTTTCTCAGTGAACTTGGTCATTAAGACCTTTATTTTCTTTACTTCTTAAGATGGGCAATCAAGCATTTAAACCAAATTCAGTCCTGTGGCCCGTTTTTTCTTTAGGTGGCCATCATAAAAAAAAATTAATAATAATGTTCACTTCTTTCAATTGAAAATGGGAAGAATGTATTATACACTGGATGTTAATTGACCACATTCAACATAATGAGGGCAAATTATAGCAGTGTTATGATTTAGGACCTACCTGTGTGCATATGGTTGTGATTAAGACTTAAGCCTACTTTATGCTTCTGCGTCTGTACTGAGACACATGACGCCATTATCCGTTGTTGCAGGACTCTCGACACTTTCTAAAGCATCACAAAGAATTCTATTACCATTGTTTGTGTCTGTCATTTGATGTGTGTGTGTGTGTGTGTGTGTGTGTGTGTGTGCGTGTGTGTGTGTGTGGGGGGGGGGGGGGGGGGGATGTGGGGTCTCACGTATGAAAGGGAGGGGTTGTGAGGCTCACACAAAACAGTTATCAACCCTAACTAAAATGGTTCAGATCAAAGCAGATCATCTTGACAAAAAGGGACTACATGTGTCATTACACAACAGTCATCAGTTCATTTCTTGACATATAGGGTCATTAAAGATCATATCACAAAAAGGGACTACTAACAATACACCTGTCAAGTTTGATTTATGGTGGGTTGGGGGGAAAGGGCATAAAGATCACAACATGCCCTATAGGTTATAAATTGTAAGTCGCTTTGGATAAAAGCGTCTACCAAATAAATAAACATAAACATAAAACAATACACATTTCAAGTTTGATTTATGGTGGTGGGGGTGGTGAAAGGGCATAAAGGTCAAAGAACAATAGACCTGTCAAAAACCTTGACGAAAGGTGGTTCCTTATTCTCTCTCAAGTTTGTTCATCTCAGAAGGGTTTTAAATGTTCCAGCTTTGCTTCCTTGACCTGTCATTTGTCATTTCTTCTGTTCAAACAAAATCAGAGATTTTTGCCTCTTCCAGTATGCGCTTGTACAAACTTGTGTACTTTTGCTGTCAGACTCTTTAACCCTACACTCTTTCAGCTAAAAATTGTACATTGAATATTGAACACTGGATTTTTTTTTGATCATACAACCTTGTGGCAGCATTCGGGCATTATTCATTCTTTTACTCGTGTTTTGGAAGAATATTCCTTGATGTTAGCTTGGTTTTTGCGGTTTTAGAGGGGTTGTGTTTGATTTTAGGTGAACAACCGTAGTGCATGATGAATGAAAGGTGCAGAAACATTGGTCTTGTAGCCTTTTCATCCTTACTAAGCACCATTATTGCCACCTAACCCTTGGTAGATGTAATTGGGTGAATTATTTTTACCCGTTCTCTGTGAATTAATTGGATAGGTGCGGGCTGGACCTCCCCCGCTAACACCCAGCTCATTAATTGGCTGTCGGAGGTGATGGTTATTAGTGACTGCTTTGCTATCTCAGCACACACACCTAGCTGCAGAATGCATGTTACCAGTTGCTCCCTTCGTGATTGAATCGCAGTGGCTTGTTGCTTTACGATCATCAATCGAAATGATTGTCTACGAGCGACAATCAGCTTTAAAGAAGGGTTTTTAACCCCCAGATTCTCATTATCATGTCATGCATGGTCAACTCTCTGAACACACTGAAGTTAAAAGGGGAATAAGTCTATGTAGTTATAATTGATGGGATGTAAAGGCAAGATTTTTTAGCTGCCCTGAAGCCTTCACATCAAAAGTTTCAGCTCAATTAAAACCTGGCCATGCAGTCATTTCAGTACTCTCCAGTATTATCTTTTGTTTTGTGTTGTTTTTTTGCTCTTCTGTTGTCCCCTTTCTGAGATCAGGCTGTCTCAATTAGCCGTAACGCCTCATGAGATCTGAGGTTTGTTCCGGGACATCGTGCTCTATTTCTATCATTTTGTGCGACTGGTAAAGATAGAGAGCATTGGTTCGGTCAGACTGAGGTTTTAAGAGCCTCCGATGGAACCAGCTCTATTAAAACCAAGATCAGACTGCAATTTGTGTCTTTATTTTTTACAATGTGTAAATATTTAAGTAAACTGCCATCTTGTGCTGCAATCTGCAAAAATTTGGCTGCTCTGCAAAGTTTGTCGCTAATTATTCTGCAAGATGCTCTCCCACATGCACGCACGCACGCTCACACACACACACACACACACTAATAGGCGCTTCTCTTCACTCCATGGCCGGGTATTTCCAAAAAGCGCCCAATCAACAAAGATGGTGTCGATTCATTTTCTTCTTTGTTTGGTGTAATTAGTGTAAATTGTTTTTCTGGTGAGGAACCGTTAGCGCAGAACGCACTCATGATTCATGGTGCAGGCTAGTGTTTCATGCTCCTTGCTGGAGCTGAGCCTTGATATGCTGGTTAGTAGTAGTTGTGTAAGTAACACTTTGTTCAGGGTTTTTCTTCACATCCTACTCACCCACATTCAATGTGGGTTACTTTTACCTTATAGGTATCCATTTGTTCATGTCCTTTTGCTCTTCCTTTCCCATTCTTTGAGTCATCTTTTCAGCTTCTCCTTTATGCCTCTACAGCAGAACATAGCACAGTCAACACAGCAGCGTGTGTGTGTTTTAGCCTTTTTTTATGCTTTGCTTACATCTCTGCCTGTGGTTCCCTTGCAGACCGTTTTTCTAGTCTCAAATGAACTCTGCACATGGTGTGGGGAACAGTTTGTAAAGAATTATACTGATTTACTTAAAGGGGTATAGATACAAAACCTCCAGGCATATTTGTTTGACATTTCTGAGTTATTCTTCTAGTTGTTTGTGTGAGCATCTGTTTTTGGTTTAGTCTGCATATTTGGTCCAAAAGTAGTAGAAGAAGAAAATATCATTTCTATAGCGCCTCTCAAGATAAAAATCACGAGGCGCTTCACAAAAAAAAGTAAAAATATAAAAAAGCATTTAGAAAATGTTTAAAAATATATTTAAAATGAGCAAAAATAAGCAATTGCGATTTAAAAGAAAAAATGTTAAGGAAGAGAGAGAGTGACTAGGAAAGAGGGAAATCAGTGGATCCTGAGGAAGGTGGAATAGGTGGGGAGAGCAGAATAAAGAGAGAGGGGTGAAGAAGGTCATACAAAAGCCAGCTTGAACAAGTGAGTCTTCAGCTGCTTTTTAAAGGAGACCACTGAGTCCACTGATCTCAGACTCAGGGGGAGAGAGGTCCAGAGTCTGGGGGCCACAGCAGCAAATGATCTGTCACCTTTGGTCTTTAGCCTGGTGCTGCACAACCGGTAGGCTTTGATCACTGGACCTCAGGGACCTTGGGGGTGTAGGGACTAAGAAGATCACCAATGTAAGATGGTGCTTGTCCATGTAAGGCCCTATAGACCAGAACCAGGATCTGGAAATGAACCCTGAAGTTGACTGGCAGCCAGTGAAGCTGGAGGAGAAGCGGGGTGATGTGGGTGTGTTTGGAGGACTTGGTCAGAAGCCGAGCACAGGCATTCTGAACCACCTGTAGACGGTTCAGGGAGGTTCTGCTCAGACATGAGAAAAGAGTTACAGTAGTCTAAGCGTGAGGAGATGAAGGTGTGGAAGTATTTAGCGTTCATTTTAGAGTCCTGACTATAACTTTCAGGGCTCTACATGGTCAAGCTCCTCCCTATATTACTGAACTGTTAAAGCCTTATGCTCCAGCCCGAGCCCTCAGGTCCACACACCAGAACCTTCTAGAAGTTCCAAAGACCAGATATAAAAGTTGAGGAGTTCGCTCCTTCCAGACTGTTGCACCCCGACTCTGGAATGATCTTCTTTTATCCTTACGTTGTATTGACAGTCAGGACACTTAAAAAAACAGCTGAAGACCCCTTTATTTAAAGCCGCTTTTACCTAAATCTTTTATGTTCTTATTTTTAACTCGAATTTGTAATCATCTTTCATTTTATTACTAAATTTTTTCTGATGTTAATCCATTTTTGTTTTGAGATCATTATGATTTATTTTGTTTAGATTTATGTGAAGCACTTTGTGATTTTATGCCTGTAATAAATGCTATATAAATACAATGTATTTAGGTACTTAAAATGTACACAACATTCTACATGTAGAATTGTTTATGTAGACTGTTATTACTAGATGAAAGCTATATTTTTCTGAATGTTAATTATTTATTGATTATGTAATTTTTTTTTGTTTGCCTTGGGGACTTTTTATTGGGTTGGGGTTATACTTTGCTAATGCACAAAATAGAAAATACTCTAAATTGTTCTTACTATTTGCAGTCTAACAGAAAAGGGGTGTGGCAGTGTATCATTGGAACTGAATTTAGAACAATTCTCTGTATAGAACCCCATCTTATTTTTATTTGACACGGCTTTGTTTTTTTATAGTTTTGCACTGATTTAGACACATGCAGACAAGTCACTCTTTCTGACTCTTTTAAACAGCTTTATAGACGTCACACACAGATCCAGTTTGTGCATCATTATGTAGAAGACAAACGTTTCAGAGCGCTGTTATTTGTTTGCAGCGGTCTGTAATACAAATGCCTGCTTATCTGGTGGAGTTGATAGAAAATTAAACACCACAGAATGAGAATGACACTGCTGTGTGTGATTCTTTGGTGTAGAGTTTAATTATCGCTTCAAATTCTCTTTTTTTAATAAAGTTTTCATTTTAGGCCTTCAACAGACCTTTTCCAAATGAAGTAAATTCAACTGGAAACAAATATAGAATCCTAACATAAATGGTGCATGGCATGTTCCCTAACACAATCCAAGATGGCCACAACCGCAAAAATCTAATTCGCCAGGGCTCCTTAGTGACTGTGATGCCTTTATTTGACAACATAAGGTTATCTAAGTTTAATATGAAGGGTGATGCACAGCGTTTTGGTTAATAATAAAAACATTTCATTATAATCTCGGTTTCTGTTCTGTCTTTTTCTAAGGATTACAGAGCAGGTCTTGGTATCGCCGAGGTGGAACTGACTGCCGCTACCATCCGAGACGCGGACCGCAGGAGCTTCGAAATCAACACACCCTTTAAAAATTTCTGGTTTGTATTATCTTAATTTGTACTTTTTCACATCAATAGAGTTTGTGTCTTGTGCATCTTTGACTGTTAAATGATGATAAATGGCCCGCACTTGTATAGCGCCTCTCAGAGCGCTTTACACTACAGTGTATCATTCATCCATTCACACACGCATTCACACGCATTCACACACTGGTGGGGATGAGCTACAATGTAGCCACAGCTGCCCTGGGGCACACTGACAGAGGCGAGGCTGCCGAGCACAGGCGCCACCGGTCCCTCCGACCACCACCAGCGGGCGGGGGGGTTTAAGTGTCTTGCCCAAGGACACAACAGCAGAATTCTCTGTCCGGGGCCGGGATCAAACCTGCATCCTTCCGATTACTGGACAACCCGCTCGACCTGTTGAGCTACTACTGCCCCTGTTATGCTTTCACTTTTCCCCTTTGAGAAGTCTCGCTAGCTTATTTTCATATTACTCTGTTCTGTTGAAGTCCTCAGCAAAGCTAATGTTCCCTTTTGTTCAGCTTGAGGCAACATGTCAATAAATTCAATAATAAAAAAATGAAAAGATGTGTAGATTGGCGACATTTATGTCCCTTTGGGAAGCTGTACCACCTCAAGTCACAACAGCATGACTCAACGTACTAGCCTACACGTGACAGCCCCATCTAGTGGACAACTTTTGTTTCTTTGCATACACGCAGTTATCGTCCATTTATCGTTCTCGATGAGAACTCCTCTATATATCGTGATTTTAGGCTATATTGCCCAGCCCCACTCCAGACTAATTGGTACTTTTCTCTTTGAGTCCCATATGTTCTATTTGCTGATTGGTTCTTTTGTTCATACGTCCCATATTTTCTGTTTTGCGATTGGATTTTTGTTAATGTAAATTTTCGTTGTCGTTGACAAAATGTCGATCATTTTTAGCAGTTATTTAGCTTTTATTGAATATTTTTTACTAGTTTTTGTTTTGCTTTTGTTTACAAAAAATCTTACCACTGTTTTATTTTTCTCTGACTTATTTTTTCTCTTCTATGTCTTCCTTCATTGTTTTCCAATTCTTTGTCTTCATCTTCTTTTATGTATTCATATACTTTTTATTTCTTTCTCTTCTTGCTCCTTCTTTTTCTTGTTCTTTGTCTTTCTTGTTCCTGCATACGAAGCAGGAATTACCATGGATAGTGGATGATGTTCCAGGTCACAAGAGTGCTCAGAGTAGACTTTTTTTTATTGGTTCAGACTAGTTCTATTAATAAAGCAGCTGTGGTGTAGAAATAGCTTTAGTCTAGTGCACCTGTGTTGATGTACTAATTAGCTACGCACTAATTATGTCATACATCTGTTGCAACTGATGTAAAACAACAAAGATCGGGGACACCAGTTGACCTCAGTATAGATCAATGATATTTTAGCAGGAAACTGATTTTATAGTTGATGTATAATTATGGCCTCACTGCCTGTTTGATAATAACCTCGATGTGGTTGAGATGTACTGTTGCTTTGCTAAATATTTGGTTTTTAAATATTTGACAGGAGTCATCACCTGAAATTTTCACTTTTCCACTTGAAAAATTGTATATACTGAGCCAGGATCCTCTGGTGGTTCCTGTTAAAGAGGAGTTTGCCTCCACTGTCGTTAGTATGAGGATTGCTGTAAAGACTCTGACACTAGTCAGGGACTCGATGCAACCTGCTGGGTTCCTGATATAGGAAACATTTTTTCTGACTGGCTTAATGAACTGACCTGGATTGGAATGTTTACTAAGTGAAGTGCCTCGAGACGACTCTTGCCATGATTTGGCGCTATATAAATAAACTTGAATTGAACTGAATTATATAATGGCTTTCTAATGATTTTTCACTGGCCGGAAAGCCGATATTTAACGTATTGGTTTTTTTAACTATTGGCTTCCTCAAACAATGTACACCCCACGAGCATGCGCACTCCAAAACGAGATCTTGAGTTCTGACCTTACTGTCATCACAAAGGCAGGATGTACAGTACCATATCTGGACAGCGCAGAGCAATGCCGCTATAGGCCACACTGCTCCGCTTCCAGAAAAGACATAGTGTCAACGTTTATGTTGGAACTAGTTGTTTTTAAAAATATAGTAACAATAGTTCAGATTTTAAAATATCAAACTTTTATCGGACTAACGTCATTTCGTTAAGCATCCAAATGTTTGCTGGGTTTTAGCACCATGCTAAATGCTTGTTTCAATGGTTTAATCAGAATAAGCACCGCAGAACCTGCTGATACAAATCAGGTGTGTTGAAGCAGCGAAACAGCTAAACATAAATATAACACAACTTTTCATTATAAAAACATTTAATATACCAACATGAGCAAAATAAAATTGGTTATAGTCATAGATGTTTGTATTGGTAAATCTTCTTAATCAGTAAAACAAAAGCACTTAGCTTCATTTTTTACAGTTATTATGTTTGTAGTGTACAGAGCTAGGTCACACAAACACACACGCGTAAAAACATAGCAGAACTTTGGTTTCTCAACAGTTTTATTTCCATCTTTTGTACATTCTTGCTGCGTTTCTCTTCAAATTCCATTTTTGGTTCTTTTTTAAACACATAAGGTTTTTCTTTACCTTGCTGACGGTTTTGTTTGCGGCTGCAAACATCGTCGGAGCTGACACTGTTGGTGGTGTCACTTCCTACTCCGTTTATCCGCGAGCAGCAGAGGATAAACGGTGTAGGAAGTGACGCCACCATCAGCGTCAGCTCTGAGGATGTTTGCAGCCGCAAATGAAACCGTCAGCAAGGTAAGGAAAATCCTTATCTGTGTTTAAAAAAGAACCAAAAATGGAGTTTTATTTCCAGCATGTGTGAATGCATTTAATTGCGCACACACACTCACTCCAGCCCTTCAGGCTCTCGTCACATTGTACACGCGCATCTCCTCCTGTATATAAAGACACACGAGTGCTGATTACTAATGCGCTCCAGCTGTGGGACTGCACACTCCCCTCCTGTAACTCCCCACTACACACTTTATACACTTTTCTCATAACAGACATTAACATTTTCACAATTTTCTCTTGTTTAAACACTCTCAAAGTTCAGAACTTTGCACTTTTGGACACAAAACATAATGTGCAGTAAAAAAAAAAAGTACGCAAATTTGTACACAAAAATCCACGAAACTGCAAGGGCGTGAAAGGTGAACGGCATTATAGTGAGGGACCCCTGTACTAAAGAGGTACAGGGTTTTGGAATAGAGCTGACTCCTAAAGTTAACCAGCTTTTGATGAACATCCAATGATTACTTTCTGTGTGATTCAATACAATCCATCCAGTTAGATGTTAAAGCAGACACAAGCAAACACACACAGGCAAAATCATTATAACAAGAGACCTAATGAATGACGTCCTAAAAGCCTGAAGAAAATTTCACTTTAAAAGTTTACAAGAGAGTCTGGCCGCTTGGAAATGTAGTGATAACGGTGGAGGACTCAAGATTTTTGCATGGTGCTATTACGCTCTGTTCATAGAACTCAATCTTTACTTCTGGTCTTGTTTGTAATGAACCTGAACACAAGAATTCATTGATTTTATCCAAACCAGCAAAGCAGAACGGCAGAATCGTTGAAAACAAATCCAAACACAGACAATGCAAATAGCAGCGCTATGTTTGCTGTCTTTGGGAGGTTCTAAAATGTAAAAATAATGAGCAGAGATGTCAGAAAGTTGATGCTGCTACAATTAAACAAAGGGAGAATCCTAAGCTTTTTTTTTCATTATTGATTAGCTCTCCTGTCAAATCCCTTTCAGAAAGCACCTCGTGAATGACCACACCACCACACAACTCGCAGACTTTATCGATCAGCGCACCGTCCACAGAACACGACAACGGTGTCCTGTTCAAAACCCGCTAATTATTGATCGGTGTTTCTGTGAAGCGCCCTCTTGAGAGCTTTGCTGTAGGTATCCCTTGCCTGTAGGGCTCAAAGCCTTTCAGGTGGCTTCTGTCCCTCAAGGGGCCTCCAATCAATGAGCTTGCAGCTTGTTTGTGCTGTAATGGCCCGCTCACAACACAAGCGTGACAGCTGCCCCGAAAAGAAAAAAAGAAAAAGAAGCGCTGCTCGTTTGTTTTGGGTGCATCTGTTTCACCGTTTTCTCACCGCTTTTCTTTCTCAACGTGTGTAAAGATTTATTTATTCATTTGTCTCTCGTGCTTCTCGCTATGTGTTGTGTGTCCGATCGATCTGTTTTTGGCAGCTGCCTGAATGGTCCAATCGTTTGGCTGCTTCGTTAACACGCCGGTTGTAATTGCAACCCCCCCCCCCCCCCCCCCAAAAAGTGTACAATCAGCCCAATGCTTCAGAATTGTTTTGATAAGGTCATTGCTAAAAGGGTTTTACTCCAAGTGCGAGTGTGTTTGTGAATCAAATCGATTGGCGGTCCTGGGAGCGTTCTCCAACCTGCTCAAGGTGGGGATTAGTGAGAAACTCATCTAATCACTTTAAGCTGTGGAGATTTACTTTGGCTTTTCCGTTGTTTTGCTGCCGTTAAACGGACAGCACGCTCGGACCGTTGTGCTGGATACAATAGCCGGCTTTTATGAGTACAGAGAATGACAATGAGGCTCAGAGGAGAGGAAAAACACAAGCAAAAACATTGAACTTTGGAGAAGAGAAAAACTTTGTGCTCTTGTTCAGACACCACGTCTGCTACAGTAAAGCTGCAGATAAAAGCCCAGCCCCAGGGTATAACGGGGTAGAAAACAGGTTATTTGTGTTGGGGTTGTTTTTGCATGTTGCTGATGGACAGTTACGCATGACGAGTTCTGTTGATGAGGATTATCTCAGGTGGATTATTCTAAGTGGATGGAAATACTACAGATAAACACACATGGTTATGTCACCCCTCTAAAGTATAATTCAGAAGTTAAAAATAGTACTGCTAATAATGGTAAAGTCAATGCATTGCATCCCGGGATTGTGTGGCAAGAAACGGCGTAATTTGCCTATAATGCGATTGCTTTGCACGTTTGGAG